TACTTGGCTGTGATTTTCTTTATGGTCATGAAGCCCACTTAACACATCCTGTTAAAAGTCCTAGGCTAAAAATGAGCACTTAGGAGAGATATTAATCATCTTTGTGAGAGGGAAGATGAAAGGAGAAAATTGGAGACAAATTGAAATAGCATATGCAATCATTTTTTTAAAAAAGGGTTAATTGTATTACATTTTCACAGACAAATAACATTAGAAAAGCAGTACCGAGAAACAGGCAACAATCAATTCCTTTTCTGCTGCTCTTTCAACCACTACAACTTGTATATTCCCATCTTTCTTTCAAAGAGAATGAACCACTACCTTTTGCTAATGCTCTATTATCTGAAACCCATCTTTTTTCATCCAGTGTTTAAGAGGATAAAATCATTGCAGACACTTCCCAACCTTTCACCATTCTTGTATATATAATCAGGTTTAACAATTCAGATAGCTTTGTGAAGCACACAAAATGTGATACGGCATTAAGAAAAAGAAATCAGAAATCACTTACCGTTATAGAGCTCTGTCTCAAACAGCACTTTGAATATTTAACCATAATTTATGTCACTTTGTGTCTGTAGGCAGCAATGGTTCTTTGACTGTTCAGTCCCTGTTATATTACATTTGAGGACATAGCTCAAACTCGCATTGCTCTGGCTATAATCCAGTTAGCAGCTAAAGGCTGTGAGAAAACCAGGCTCTGAGCAGAATAGTTTTTTTTGGTAAGACGTCTTTTATGATTTGGATTGGGCGGTTCCAATTACTGCTCTTCCTACTTAACAGCTGTGTATAAAAGAGATCTGTTATTTTACTGCACTTGGGCTGAATTGTGACCCTGTTCCTATACCACAAACAAATAAGAGACCACAGCCTCTCACTGGGACTTTCACTGACGTTTTATCTGACTTGCCAACTTTCACCGGCTTTAACTCTGCATTGTCATGCAGTGAAATATGTATTAATATTCGCAGCATAAGTTAAACTCCCTTTTCTCTGAGCAATGAACATTCCTTATGCTTCCACTGTGTTGATTTTACACAAAAGGGCACAAACATGGCACCTATATTTCTGGTTCATAATGAAGATCATTCATTTGGGAATTTTAAACATGCTGATCTTAGACTGGGCTTGCTCAATCCAAGTAAATATGCCTTTCATAATGTTCAGCAGAACTCTTCTGGGCAGATGTTTCTGAATAAACCCTATGTAGTGGCATGCACATTGCAAATTACAGCAGAGGAAGACAGCCCAAAGCAAACAGAGCTAAGACAGAGGCATGATTCAGTTAGTCTGCCCCAATGAGAGGGGAATGCAGAAGCCAATGATGCCATTCCTAGTGTAAAACAAATAAATTTATTGACCAGAGAAATGATGTGTTGCTAAGCTAAGGCACGCTTTGTGCCACATTTTATTTTGGAGGCTTAATTTTAAATAAATGTCTCTTGTTGGGCAGTGTTCAAAATATTATTCATTTAAAGTGTTTATGTAGTGTATCTTTCAATGGTGCTTATAGATTAGATAAATCGCTTCATGTTTTAATATGCTTAGATGAATACAAGCACACATTATAAATACATCATGTATTTCGTTGCTACACAACATTTCAACACAAGACTTTAAGAGAAATGTTCTAAACTAATAGATTCCTGGATTTCACCTTGTACCATGGCTGACAAATGATGCTTTCAATCAGCAATTTGTGATGGGGTTTACTTTGAAATAGAGTGGGAATATTTGATATAGCTTCCCTTGAAGGAAAACGTGATCCATTAAGCGATAATTCTTATATCTGTTGCTATTTAATCCTTGCATTTGATATAGCGCTTTTCACGTCGGGAGGACGTCCCAAAGCGCTTCACAGAATATACTGTAAAGTGAATTGACTGTATATTTGTGGGCGAACGCGGCAGCCAATTGCGCACAGCAATGTCCCACAAACAGTCGTAGATTGAAAATGACCAATTTATTATTGTTTTTTGGGTTTTTGGAGGGATTATTATTAGGCGTGTGGAGTAAGGAAACTTGCCAAGGTTCGTGCCTGGAATTGAACTCAGGTCTCTCGCTTGCAAAGCGAGTGCTTAACCACTGAGCTACAGGACTCCACAAATTTGGTAATATAGGGAAATGTATCAGACAGCAGCATTCTAATTAGATCATAGATTTTCAGATTTCCACTGTGTGTAGACAGTGCAGGGCAAGCAGTCAGTTTTAGTGCAATTCAGAACTCGTAATCATCTTTACTGGTAGAAGATGTTCAGACACTGCAATTTTCCAACGCAATTAAGTCAAAACTTTTTTTGCAAAGTGACATCGTGGCATTTCCTGCATGCACACAAGGTAACATTTGTGATGCTTCTTGTGCAACACATACTGTTAGTGCCAACTTGACACTTGGAACACAGATGTTTTTTAGCCTCCTTCTGTGCTGATTTCCAGCATTCCAGGAAAGGATTGTTCTTGTTTGGTGTTTAACCAACAGCAATTTAACTAACGTGCACTGATTCTGCAAATCCAGGTTTTTTGGAACATGAGGGTCTCAGAATGATTCCTGAGAGACTCCATTCAGTGCACTTCCCTTTTGAACAAACTCCCTCCTAGCACTACCCCGTCTCTTGCCTCTTTCATGTCCCGTCTAAAGACCTTCCTCTTTGACCGTACCTTTGGCCACCCTCCCACTCCCACCCCCCTGTTCGCCACCCTTTCTGACCCCAACTCGGGTCCAAAAAACCCTGACTGTCCAGTGCCCTGGGACGTATTTCCGACATGAAGGGCGCTAAACAAGTGCAATTTGTTGTTGTTGTTGTTGCTCCCTTCCCTTTTGACTATGGTCAGATCTTACCCTTGTTACCCATTGACTTTAGCTTTTGGAAGTCAAGGGAACTGCTCTTGGATGCAACTTGCTCTTTTCTGTAACATATGGCGAGGCGAATGACTATTTCATAACTGTATTTTTCTTTGCTCTGTGAATAAAAAGTACTCCCTGTAGATTTTTATTTTGCCTTTAAAATTTCCATATTCTTGTTCCAAAGAATATCCTGTTACCAGGCTAATCCGCTTGATGGGGAAAGGGGAAGGCTGCATCACCCAATTATACTCTGTTTCTAAAATAAACACAGACGGTTCTGATGAAAGATTATCCACCTGAAACATTATCTAATTTTCCTCTCTCCGTAGATGCTGCCTGACCTGCTGCGTGTTCCCAGCAACTTTGTTTTTATTTCAGATTTCCAGCAGTATTTTATACTCTGTTTCTAACTTGACTCTCAGCAACTACACAGGAAACAATTGTGAACAATATGGATATCACAGCTGGTGATGATCAACCTCAAAAATGCACGTATATGAGTACAAGCCAGTTCTGGACCCCAAGATAGTTCTGGACCTCATTGTAGTCATCTCAACTGAAAAAAACTAATTTCATTCCACTTTAACCTGCTGTACTCGTCTTCTGTGAAGATTTGGCAATTGGGAAAGCAATCAAATTGCACTTTTTTTCAGGAATCACAATGCTGCATTCCTATGATACTATTTCATTGTCCTTTAACAAGCTGAATTACACATGTACTTTCTTGAAGAGCCACACATTTAATCTTCGAAACATGAATAAAGGGCTGTTTGTGGCAAGAAGATCAAAGGCTTTTCTTCAACATAATCAATGTCTAAACTGGATTTTTCTTGGATTCACTCATCATTCAGGCCTTCACACTCAGTGGATATTGCTCTCACCTCCTCGAGGGGCTAGAAATAAACAATTAGCTTACAGTGGCAGAGGTAGAGAGATTGCTGTATCAGTAACCCTATTAGATCAGGAATATTGCCCGCAGATTCCAACATTATTTATGGGCTTGAAGAATAACTAGGCATTGATGAATCAGCGCTATATACCTTGCTGGGGCTGAGAGAAATAGCACTACTTAACTGTGATGTGCTCACAAAGAGGTTCCAAAAGGCATGTGCTATATCAGGAAACTTAGGTAGACTTTCAGCCTGAACACACTGGCTGAAGACTCAGTTAATTTGGTAAGACCGGAATGGTCATCATGGGTCTACAACCCAGAATATTTCTGTGATGAAAACTCTTAGTGTTTGACAAATGTTTTAAACCTAATGAACAATATTTTAAAAGGCCAGTCACTGTTATGAACTTGAAATGATTGTACAGTAAAATGCAGGTGATCGAGAAGGGTACGGAGGGCTTTAAAGCAGCAGGACCACAAAATACTAGTTCAGGAAGAAAAGGGGAGCAAGGGAAAGACTGCAGTTTTTTAACAAGTAAAAATAAATCGTGATTTTAATGACTACAAGTGTGGTGGCAATAATATTCTGGTTTAGGAAAGTTTTAAAGGAGAAACTGGGGACATCATGTGGCTAGTTGGTGGAATTGCAGAAAGTATCACTGCCTCGCCAAAAAAAGTTATATCACACAGTAACCTTAGCATAGATATATTTTAGCTGTGAAAATGGATCTTTTGAGGTGTCTCTGTGGTATTCTATGAAATGTTGTTCTCTTTCTCAAAGTAACTTAAGAAAACCCTGCAATTATGTAAGCATTATATGCTTTACTTGTCCTCCCGAAGTGAAAGGCGCTATACAAATGTAATCTTGTAGTTGTTGTTGTTTACTTAATCTTTACCCTGTATTATCAGTCATTGTCATAAATGCCATCACATTTTATTAATGATATGAAAACCATAATTCACTGGAAAACTTAGATTGATAGACGTGAGTCCATTTTTACAACAAACAAAAGGAGTTGTCTTTATACAGAATATCTGTCAACAGCAAAGCATCACTGTCCCATGTCACAAGCCGAATGCACATACAGCAAATCTCAACAGCAAACATATGTATATTTTCCTACAAAATGATTTGTTATTATAGTGCATTTCTTATGTATGTATGTATGTATGTATGTATGTATGTATGTATGTATGTATGTATGTATGTATGTATGTATGTATGTATGTATGTATGTATGTATGTATGCATGTGTGTGTGTGTGTGTGTGTGTTTGTGTGCGTGTGTGTGTGTGTGTGTGTGTTTCTGCACTGCAAATTAACAAGTTGTCTTTAAAACAAATTGTAAAGTTACTGTATACTACTATTTATTGGGTACGAACTTTGAATATTTAAAAATGTTGTTATTGGTTCCTGTTTACACACAGCAACATTGACAATGAGAACACAATTGATAGCGATACTGCTCCAGCAGTTCAGGTTATTGGTGAACTGGAGAAAGTTATAAATTATGTAAAGAATGGATTTTTAAAAATCTCATTAAACAGTTAGCTACATGGAGGCAAAGTATATAACATGGGAAAATGTGCATGCAGCTGAAACATAGGGGTGAGGAGTTAATCATCTTTATAAGGGATGCAGTCTGGATCTTGTTTCTTCTCAATCTTCTCCTCAGTCTTTGGTTCTGGTTCTTCACAAACAGGTATAGACCTCTGAAGCATTGTGCCATTCTTAATGTTTGGATGTCCGGTAAGAATAATCCAGTGGTTCACGTCTTCCTCAACCTTATGGCTGTCAAAGAAGCTATGAGTTGTGACTTCAAATTCTCTTCCAAAAGATGTTCTGCCAGTAGTATAGAGAAGAGTTTAAATAGCTATAATCTCGTAAATTTGTATTATTAGCAAACCTTTAATTGGATCAACTAGATTTTCTTTTAATCAAAGAGAAGTGATTACTTATCAGTTAGGTAGTTATATAAAATATAGGATGTAACTTTTTTCCTGAATTCCGTAATTAGATCTAGCATACATTTTAAATTTACACTGATTTGTGATGTGCCGATCGGGAATATACCCAGATATGCTGGAGTTGGATAATGCAACATCTTTCTGTGAAGCCAAATCAAGCATTCCCTTGTGGATTGTGGCAAGTTGTCAATTGTCAGCTTCACAGACAGTTATCCTTTGAAGTGGACATCATTATATTTAGCTACAAAGAATGCACAGGCAACAGTTGACAACAAACACAAACAAACTGAAACAGAACAAAAACAAACAACACATTTTATAAAATATAAATGTCAAAAGGAAGAAATTCAGGGCCAAAGCTGCATATTGTTTCAGCAAGATATAAAATCCCCAAGAAATAGAAAACGAGTACAAATAGGGTGATTTCAAAGTTTCAGCTTCTTACCAGGGCTTACAGTTATGGTTAGAAAATATTTAAACTCACTCTCAATGTTAATGACATTATTTGAATCCTTTGCCCAATCAATCATAGATATCTATTACTTGCTATAATAACATAGCACATGTGAGAGTGCTGTTTATTTGACTTTTTGATCAAATACGATCCGATTTGAGGGGATCAAAGTGTCCTCTCTTTGTAGTCGTTATGTATGAAATAAGTTTCTACATGGCATTAAACTGCTAAAGAACAGCATTCTTGACAAAGATAGTTATGTAAAATAATTGAAGAATGTCCAAGTATGGTTAGCCATTCGGCCATGCTTTTGGTGAACATATACACTTACCGCAAGAAGAACTTGTAAAGGAGTGCCAAATTATGATTAGTACGGCAATGGTTGATAAGTATTTTTGTATTTGCCTAGGAGAATCAAAGTAATAAAATTGTAAATCTAATATACAGATGAGGAGGGTTTGTGTCCAGGTCATACATTTACACTGCATTTTATTGGCAGAAGAGCAGCAGTTTTATTAAAATTGCAATGCTATAAACAATTTCTTGTGTAAATCTCACATTCAGCTTCAAACATCCAGAGTATGCTGGACATTAATAGCATCATTGTATAGTGATATTGAATAAAAATGAATAATTCAGTTATTATCTAGCTATTATCTAAGCTATTAATTTATATTCAATACCGCTGTACGCTGATGCTTGCATATGGCATGGAAACAGGCTATTAGGCCCAACTGCTTATAGGTTTTAAAATTATTAACACACCATTCATAGTAAAGTACAAAATAAGTTGTTTTAAAATGCACTTACTGGTACTGGATATCCTTCATATTCAAGGCGCATCTCTGGGTCTAAATATAGAGCCTTCCAACAACCCGGGAATGTGGGGTTGTCAATCAAATTTACTTCCTGCATCCGCGAGTTTTTAGCATACTTCTGAAAAGTTTTGTGATCACTAGTCAGATACAACTAAAAAATTAAAAATCAAAGGACATGGCTCAGTGAAATGAGCATTAGGATAAATAACAGTCCCTCCTCAATTGTCTCCTTCACTTTATTCATGCAAACAACAGCCAACATATTATATGAGATCTACTTTATTAAATGTATCAAATACAAAGCAAGGCTTTCTGTACCTGTCCACCATATTCTTCAGTTGTTCTGAGGGCAAAGTGCTGCCCATATCTGAGTGTTTCACCCTCCGTAGACTCGTCAACACTGAATAGCATGAATGTACAAAACATTACAAACAACATGCAGAACGTTCCCAACAGACAATAAACATTAAAGTTAAACTTTCCCAAGTCTCAAGCATGTCAGTTTATTAAAAATCTCAGCAACACTGCCTACTTCTTTAGAATCCTGCAGGTTACATTTGGATTCATGATATATATCTTGGCTTGATTCTGCCATACAAGTTGCCAGTTTCAGATTTACTTCTTGGAAGTTTATACAAGAGCTGTTTGGTGTTGAAATAATAATATAATAATACTCCTTCCATTTGATATGGTACCTTAGAATAATACTAATCCTTGCATTTGATATAGTGCCTTATCAAGTTGATGAGACGTCTCAAAGATCCTCACAGGATATACTGCAAAATGATGTGACCGTGCGTATTTTATGAGCAATATTGTGTCAACGCCTCAAAGCACTTTGCAGAAATTTACTGTGAAGTGCAGTGTCCGTGTGTTTGTAGCGAATGTAGCAGCCAATTTGCATTCAGCAACATCCCCCAAACAGCCATGAAGCGAGTGACCAGTGTTTGTTTGTAGGAGACTGCTGTGTGCAAGTTGGCTGACTTGTTTGCTTTCAAAAACAAGGTCACTACATTTCACAGCAATTACCTTTGAAGCGCTTTGGGATTTTTGATGTTATACGTACTGTAACAAATGCAATGTTTATTATGTTATTAAAATTAATGGCTGTGGGAAAAGAAATAACAGTTCTGTTGAATGCACAACAAACATTTAGTGAAGAACAATTTGCCACAGTACTTAATATTCTCACCTTGTAATAATAAATGTATTTCTGATACAAGGGTATAATATTGAGCAGGCACTCACTGCACATGGTCCTATGACTCGTTTATCTTTAATGAATCTGCTCTCATCAGCATTCAGAGCCAGCGACAGTGCCTCATGGGCGGGATGGGTACCACCAAATCTGTTTACTTGATTGTCTGGACTAACAATCATCACCATGTCACCAAAATGAATAGTCCCATCACAGGAATTGGCTAGGTCAGTCTATACAGAAATGGAAGAAAAAGAAATAGATATAAATGCAGCTAATCATGTTTAATGCGTGGAGTCCTGTAGCTAGGTGGTTAGAGCACTCGCTTTGCAAGTGAGAGACCTGAGTTCAATTCCAGGCAGGACGAAACCTTGGGCAAGTTTCCTTACTCCACACACCTAATAATAATCCATCCAAAACCAAAAACAATAATAAATTGGTCATTTTCAACCTACGACTGTTTGTGGGACATTGCTGTGCGCAATTGGCTGCCGCGTTCGCCCACAAATATACAGTCATTTCACTTTACAGTGTGTTCTGTGAAGCGCTTTGGGACGTCCTCCCGACGTGAAAAGCGCTATATCAAATGCAAGGATTATTATCATTATTATTTAATGGAAGATACATCTAGACAAATTGGTATTGAAGTGATTACAAGGTTTTTATCTCTCTGAGAGTTTTAAATGATATCATAACGTGCAAGAGTGAAATTTAAGTTTAAGCCTCTAATCGCCAGTTTCATTTGAAACATTCTAGTTTTGTGTTTATCTCTAATCCTTTGGAACATCCTACCAACATGAAAGGACCTCTATAAATGTAAATTGTATTGTATTCACTGTAGTTACAAACCAATCAGTAGCTATATATACCTTATGACAACCTGCCAAGTTTAGTCATATTGATTACAACTACTGAGGTCGTGTTGATAAATTCAGATGAGGANTTTTTTGACACATCATCTTCATTGCTACTTTTACAAATTAAAAAAGGTCCTATTTGAAATGTTTATAGTAAATGCCCCAGAGTCATGTGCTTCAATTAACTCTCTTTTCTCATCCAAAATAAAACATGTTGAATCTTCACAAAATACAATATTATTTCAAGATATGTCTTAAAAATCGGAGATCCTTTGGATTATAAAAATTCAACTAGAACAAATCAAATCAACTAGAACAATACATTTGTATTGTACCTTTCACATCGGGAGAACGTCCCAAGGTGCTGGACACTCAAGGATTTGTTCATTCTAAAAGATTCAGGGTACGGATTGCTGAATTCTAAATTCATATAAATGAAACCCCGTAAATTGTCCTTGTTAGGACTGCCATTAAGAATACAAAAAAGTTATCAACCAAAGTTGTCCTTTGTTTAGAAGGAATCATGTAAAATTGTTTTCAGATATTCTTTTCTGCTGCCCTAGACTCAGTTTACAATAGCCACACATTCCTTCCAATATAGATTAGAGAAGTAATGTAGATTGTAAGGTGAAAATGTTTACTGATATGGTTGTTGATCCTGCTACTATCACCAAGCAACTGAGCAGCGAGGGTGTGACTAGTTGTTTCTTTTAATACTTCAAAGACTAAATTATGATTTCCTTTGGGGGCTACTTATTTCATACAATACAAGTTGCATCTACATAGAGTCTTACACATCAGGAAACTGTTTCAAAGCACTTCACACAGATACACTGATTTATTCATATTTTCAAGATTTATCATGCAGTATTGATTATTTACAAAAGAAGATGCATTTGATATTGTGCTTTATCATGTCTTTGCGATGTCTCAAAGTAATAACCTTGTTTCATAATTTGATGGGAAAATCTGTAACAGAATTTATATGTAGTTACAGGATCTTTCAGAAACAAACAGAAGTCTTAAATAGGAAATAGGTTCAGCACCTTTTTCAGTAGATTCTTTTTAAAAAAGCCAGTCTTTTGTATCAGAAGTTCCCCATTTTCCTTTTTTTTAATGAAGTTTTTGAGGACTTCCTAAAAGATTTTAAAGAAAATAACAATTAGGTTCAGCATTCCAGCATTGCATTCCAGTGTCATCCTTGTCCTGGACTATGAATTCAAAGTCCCATTGTTGGGCTTGAACCTGCTATTTATTGAAGCCTGATGACTCAGAGTGCCTCCAACTAAATCAGGGTTTTCAATAATTACCCTTTAATTTAAAAAGATGGATCAAAGACATTGACCGAAAAAATATTAAAACAAAAACAAATTGCATTTGTTTTGCGCCTTTCACGTCGGGAGGAAGTCCCAATAACACGTGTAATACACCATTTTAACATGTACAATAAAAAGTTGATTGTGCATGTAAAGTGGTGTATTACACAGGTCATACAAATAAAACATATATTATGATATCATACTATTAAAAAATGCTCCACTAGATGGAGTCTGTGCTCTAATATTTTGTAGAAAGCTCCCAATTAACCATGTAAGACAAGGCCTTAATATGTAGAGTGGTCCTAGTTGGACAAGCAGCAGGAGAGCTTGGTCCCTAAGATTTGGCTCTTGCCAACCTGTACCTAATACTCTTATAGAATTAGATAACCAGGATGTGTCCCTCCATGAATTAGGAAGGCATCCAGCACTTTGGGACGTTCTCCTGACGTGAAAGGCGCTATACAAATGTAATTTGTTGTTGGCGTTTTAACAGATTGTATAAGCATACGATCCATAAATCCAGCTGTGTCGTGCGGAAGTAGGTAGGTTGCTGAATGCTATGATTTATGTTCTCCTGGGTTAACTCTACACTAATAACCAATGGAGGAATTAAAGGACAAGACACACAGAGTTTCCAGTCTCCCTCAAAAGGGCTTCCGGCTTCCTTCAGCATCTTCTTCAGTTACTGGGCAAGGTATTTACATTCCCATTTCTACCAATATGAAATGGGTGGTAGAAATTAGAAACAAAATTCTCACAAAGAAGAGGGAAGCAAACTCTCAATTCGCATTTGACACTGACTGCATATGAAAAGCGATGTGAAGTATTAGATTAATATAATATAATCCGTAGAATTCTGAAATATCTGATCATGATGAAAAGTAAGTAGTAAAGTAAGGGAGATAATATATCATGGAGTGGTATTTTGACTGTTGCACACTGTATCGAGAATGCATTGAGCATTCTTCAAAAAAATGAGGGGTAGGTGAATTGTTAAGGCGAGGATTTTGAAGGGCATAGAAGAACAATATACAGTTGCTGATGGTGGAATGGAGTAACAAGGCTGTGGTTCTCAGCACATTGTGAACACAATCCGGAGAGGAGGAGGGTTTGGGGGGGGGCGTTGGGGTGGTGGGGGGTGGGGGGGTTGGGGTGGTGGGGGGTCGCCAGACAGAAGAAGCATCAAAGTGGATATATATTAATGAAAAACTCTCAGAAAGGCTGGATTTATCAGTAAAACCACACTTTCTCCTGTTCTTATTCCCACCCCTCAGAAATAAAGGAGATGGGGGAGGAGGGGAGGGGAAGGGGAGTGGGGGGGGGGGGGGGGGGGGGGGAGTGGGGGGAGAGGGAAATGATGATGTTATAAATTATGATGATGAAATTAAAGGTGATTCTCTTTAAGGAGACGAATAAAAGCGAGACAAGAGGAACTGTGAACCATGTAAGTGAAGGGTTGGAATAAGCCATGGCACACTTTGGTTCAGTTACCCCCCAACCCCAACACCCCAACCCCCCACTCCCCCCAACCCCAATACCCCAAACCCCCCTCCCCCCAACCCCAACACCCCAACCCCCACTCCCCCCCAACCCCAATACCCCAAACCCCCCTCCCCCAACACCAACACCCCCACTCCCCCCCAACCCCAACACCCCAACCCCAACCTTCCCCAACCCCCCAACCCCCACTCACCCCAACCCCAACACCCCAAACCCCCCTCCCCCCAACCCCAACACCCCAAACCCCCCTCCCCCCAACCCCAACACCCCCACTCCCCCCCAACCCCAATACCCCAAACCCCCCTCCCCCCAACCCCAACCCCCACCTCTCCCCCAACCCCAACACCCTAACCCCCCTCCCCTCCCCCCTCCCCCCACCCAACCCCAACCCACTGACTCCCTTCCCTTCCCTCACCTCCTCCAGGCAAATGTCTTCAGCCCAGTTGTGGATCCGAACCCCGGAGTTATACGTCCTCTCGGCCATTGTAATCAGAGACTGCACAGCTCCGACACCAGACCCGAGCCTTGGTATCCCCGTGTGGGGTGTGTGTGTGTGTGGGGTGTGGGGTGTGTTGTACAAGGCATCAGATGGCATTTGTTTACCCGTATCCCTTGGCAACCCAGTGACGTCACCCGGTTGGGCGTCTTCGTTGGGCGTGTTCACGCCCAAATCGGGCGTGTTTTCCTCCTGGTCTTGTACTTGCTGTCCCCCCCCCCAAAAATTTTTTTTATTATCTGAAAACCCGCGAACCGTGTGTTTTTTTTTTTCTTCTTCTTCTTCTTCTTCTTCTTACACCGTTTCAAAAGAGATAAAGACTTGTTCGGCCACTCTGCCGCCCACACCCACGGCGGGCGACGCAGTGACATTGGGCTACTTTTGGGGCTCGTATTTGGTGGACTTTGGGCTACAAAATGAAGTCGACTTGGATGTATTTGATCTGCTGCATAATCCTCTGGTTTATTTCTCTCTCTGCCTCCCTCTCTCTCCCCCTCTCTCTCCCTCTCTCTCCCCCTCTCTCTCCCTCTCTCTCTGGCTTCTGTTTCGGAATATAAATGCCTAATAATAATCCCTTCAAAAACAATAATAAATTGGTCATTTTCAATCTACGACTGTTTGTGGGACATTGCTGTGCGCAATTGGCTGCCGCGTTCGCCCACAAATATACAGTCAATTCACTTTACAGTGTGTTCTGTGAAGCGCTTTGGGACGTCCTCCCGACGTGAAAAGCGCTATATCAAATGCAAGGATTATTATTATTATTGTATCAATGTCAGATTGGTGTAGCTGTTGTTTGATTCTGCTTAATTCATCTCCAAGGGCAGTCTTCAGGATATATTTTATACATATTTAATTTAAAAAAACAAAGAAATTCAAGTGTAGTGCTGATATTAAAAGCCTTTGATGTTTAATGTGGTTTTTTTTTGGGGGGGGGAGGGGGGAAATAAATGATTTTGTTGAATAAATACTCTGACATGATATTCTTGTTCAGTAGTCACCTGTATTTTTGGTCTAAAAACAAAATTAGTGAGTAGGTCAAAAATTTCGAAGCAGCAATCGACTTTATGTTTACCTTCTGATCTGTGTTTCTTTCAGAAATAAAGCAAAACATTTCCTCTTCGTCCTCCTCTCCCAATAGGGCAATACCAACCTCAAATACTGTACTATCTTTCCATCAAATGAAAGGATCATTACCTGATTTGTAAAACTTTGTTCATCACATCACTGTGGGGCTCAAGTATAGCTCAAATACCACCATGTCCCACTGTGCCAATATAGATAGCTACAGGGAATATTACTAGCAAAATGCCCTATCCAGTTACTAATTGTGCCAGGCAATACACTATTTATATAGCGCCTTTCATGTCTGGAGGATTGCCCAAAGCACCTAACAGTACTGACTGGACACCAGAACTGAGCTGATGGGAAACTGATGCAATGGGGTGACAAAGTACTGATAATTAATTCTACAGTCCAATAATTTGACTGTCCATTCAAAAAGGTTAAGCATAATCGCTTGAAATGTACCATTGATTCAGTAAAAGGTATTCTTCTGGGAGTGAGAATCAAACCTGTGCTCTACTGACTAACTTGACGCTGTCACAGAGAGAAACTGAAGTGTTTCATTATCAAGTTCAAATAGTTGAGCAGAAATACACAGCAGAATGGATTTATAAATCTATTCAATGAATACTGCAACTTTAGAATTATGCTTGATTTTAAATTTTAACACTATAATCATTTCATTTTACCACTATTTTTAAATGCATTCCACAACGAAAAAATCTGTATTTAGAATAAATCAATGTGTGACTTTGCTTTTAGTTGGAATACATCTATTTTGTGGCCTTCTGTTTCTGCTTTCTTAACCAGGCTTGTTAATTAAAAAAAAGTGTTTCAAAATTGCTAATTATTTTAAAGAAATGTATTCTCATTTGTATTTGTACAGTTGAGTGAGTTTCAAAACAGAAGGTCACATAAACAATTTCAAGAAATTGTCATTCTTGTCAGCTTTCGAAGTGTGATGCCAATCTCTTTTCCATTTGCACTTTGATTCCCAAAGGAAACATTTTCTGTTTGAGTTCATACTGCGTTGCTATCCGTGGCCAATCAGAAATATGCTCACTGGGAACAACCCAATTGTTTGTTTAATAGAAAATGAGTTTGCAATAAATAAAAAGGTCTGAGATTGTGGCTTATTCCCTGGGACCACCATTTTTCACCTAAATGAAACTGCTGAGGCTCATGCTGATACATGTGCAACGGTTGTTCCAATGCATATCTTTGGAGTTCATCCTAAAATAAGCCCTATGTACAATTTGAGGAATGGAAAGTGCCATTCATCTCATTGATAACCAGAAGGTTTAGCAATGTTTGTGTGAATGCCATTCTTTTCAAATCATCAAATGTTTCAGGACTGAAATGGACCATTCAGCCCTTTAAAATCAACGTTGGTGTAATTTCCACCCCCAACCCACAGGGTCCACCTAAATCTAATTCAGTTGTCCTCCACAGTGTTTAATATTCCTTTCTTTCGATTATCTGTGTGATTTTTAGTTTATTGAAATTGAGAGACTGTACTTCAACAATGGTTTGTGACAGCGAATGCCATGTTCCAACCATCCTCTGTGTCAAAACCCACAAAAACAAAATTAAAGTTAAAAAAAACAAGCAGTGCAAATAGCACTTGGCATTTCAAATAGATACCTGGGTCTAGTTTCCTTGATACGAGGTTTAGATTGAGAAGTACAGTTTGATTCTCCACAGATGGAGAATATCTAATCCTTGCAGGATTCAACGTGGCTATGGAATAGCCCACAGCCCCACCACCGCTTTAGGTTTCCATTTAAAAGAAATTTCAGAGTGAGAGAGGAGAGAGATGGAAACTTGGGGGAAAAAAAAACCCAAGATATTTGAAGTTAATTCTGCCAGTTAAGCGAAACATCATCAGCATAGATAATGATGTACTGATAAATTCTGGGAAATCTTATTACAGGGTGTTGGATGCCTACAGCAGCAGATTTTGTTGTAAATTTTTTTAAACTATTCTATTTACAGCTATCATCAAAACACTTGGCCTTGTTGCACCTTTATGCCCTGAATTAAAGTAAAAGCTTTCGAAATGGACCACAAGAACGTCGACTGATTTTGAGTGTATTTTAAAGAAAAGAATGAAATGAATCTTCAAAATATCATGTGACATATTTAGCTAAAGGTTTGCATCATCTCTGCTACTTTTCCCAAATGTTTTATTTGGATATTTATTTCCTGTTGTGTGTGTGTGTTTTTTTGGGGGGGGAGAAAAAAACTAATTGCATTTGCTTTAGGTCTTGGTTCACTCAGTACCATTCTGAATTCAGGATTGAAGAGTTGTTCTCGGGAAATCAATTAATTCCAGACATGAACTCGTCCACTCAGACACTGCAGAGCTCCACTTTGAAACGTCCCTTGAGTTTTTTTGTGAGGAAAGGCTTGAGATTGGACAGATCTACACCCTGAACTCGTTGATATTACCAGTTATAAGTCCCTTTTCCAACATCTCATTGTGGTTGTGCAGTGCTAATCCACTGCTTCCTCATTCAGACTAAATAATTATGAAAATTTACTGCAGCACAGAATGGAAGAAGTGTAGATTGAGTGACAGAAACATTAGAGGAATCTCTGGTTAGTATGAGATTTACTGCTTCCAAATCAATGTTCAGGGGAAAATATACCCACAGGCAACAAAGCAACACAGTGTAAATCCTTCATTGCTATCATATAACAACCAAACTGCTTGACTTTCTACACTCGACGGGAGGTATTTGGATAAAAAAAAACTATTGATTTGAATTGCATCCTTTCTGTGGTGAGGGCAAAGGGTTATGTGAAGTTCTTCACACGCCTTTGGTCACAAGTTCAAGTCACAGGAGTAGGTGGTTCTCAGACTTGTGTACAAATATATGTGTGAGAAGTTACCATCCACGTTTAACTGAGAACCAGAGGCAGTTGACTCTGGAAAAATTACCATTGAGAGAGTGTTTGTCTCACCATGTGAAAAATATGCTTCCCAGCACGAAGTTCACTGGCAGCATTTGTCTGCTTCTAGCTTAGTGGAGGACAGATGGAAACACTAAGCAGCTTTCAGAGAATAAATACAAGAGGAAACTAAATGCAAATGAATATGGAAAGTTTCTCGGAATTGTTTTTAAATGTCTGTGCATTTTTATTCAGGCTCACGAAATTTCAGCACACAATTACAATGCTCATAAAGCATCTGGTCAAGAAACATACAGAGGAAGGCTTTGCATCAGAGTGCAATTTATTATATCGAAATCTATACACTAAAACTGTAGAAAAGATAGTCCACAAAATATTTTTTTCTTAATGAGATAATATCAATATCTTCCAACTTGCAAACCACAGTTTATTGATGGAACATTGAATTTTACAGCACAGAAGAATGCTAGGATCTAATTGTGAGACAGTAGCAATCTTTTAGTTGTAAATGTTTATTGTAGTACCAAACCACACTTTTTTTTCCCCATAAAACTGATATAATTTCCAGTATCGTTACTCATTTCAGGATTTGAAACAGAGGCAAATGCTTTAAACAGTTCAGATTTTATTTACATGTAAAACGTGTGGGCATTTCATAGAAAGTAAATGGTGAGGACATAAAACGGAGTGGTGGGCACAATACTTACAATGTGTGGTAACTTGTCAAATTGTCATAACCAAAACAACTGCTTATAATAATAATTCTTGCATTTGATATAACGCTTTTCACGTCTTCTAGACGTCGCAAAGCGCTTCACAGAATATACTGTAAAGTGAATTGACTGTATATTTGTGGGCAAAACGCAGCAGCCAATTGCGCACAGCAGTGTCCCACAAACAGTCATGGATTGAGTGACCAAATTATTAATTTCTTTTTGTTTGTTTTTTTTCTTGAGGGATTATTATCAGGCGTGTGGAGTAAGGAAACTTGCCCAAGGTTTCGCCCTGCTGGGAATCAAACCCAGGTCTCTTGCTTGTGAAGCGAGTGCTCTAACC